AGAAATTTACATCTTTCTCTAATTTGCAGGTTAGATTTTATTTTCATTTGCTCCACACAAGACCCAGACCTTTGTGTGGATAACATTGTAAAAGAAGTCTGTGTATTTGGAAATTGATTTCTCTTCCCCTTCCTTTACTTTTCTGTCCTTCTTCCTTCTGAAAACTACAGGAACCTGAGATAAGGTGAGTGAGCATTGCGAGCAAAACTATAGCAGATAACTTGTATCAGAATTTTCTCATTTGGACCTCGTGAAGGCCTGTAATTTGAATGTGTGGCTCTAGAAGTGGTTGCTATGGTGATAAACCACTTTACTTAAATAGCATGTATTTTACTCAAAATTCAGAGAAATGGTAACAGTTTCTAGTAATCATGCACTGGTATTAACTTGCAGGCATATGCCTAGAGCTTACAGGTTTTGCATCCATTATCACCAGATTAGTTCATCAGGTTAAAGTTATGCCAGGGAATAATGAAATATATATATTTAGCTCAACTTCTTGTTACATATCAACCCTTGCACACATGGAAACCACTCTTAAAGATTATTAATATGAGCTGAAGAAATCAGGCCAAGAGTACTGAATTACAAAAAGGTAAAACTGGAGGGAACTTTGTAATGTCATCTTCTCCATCATTCTGTATCCACTTGATGACTTCAGCTGTCCCAAATGGTAAGAATTTGTCAACAGTGAGAAACATCTGAAATGCTGTTTGGGGCAGACCTTGGAGTGATGCTCTGACAGACTGCAGCGCTCAGAGATGATATCTAGCTCCATAGTACTGAATCTACCTCCTTCATTCTAGTGTGTGTGTGTGTGCATGTGTGTACGTGCGCACATGCATGTGTGTACGTGCGCACATGCATGTGTGCACGTGCGTGTGTGCATACTGGTATTCTTTATCTTTTTAGACTGAAGACCTCTCATATAAAGAAAGCTCCACCCTGCAATCATATTAGTAGCCTGTCTGTGGATCTTCTCTAGTCTCTTTTTATCTTTTCAGGCTAGTTGCAGTGTTTCTGGTATGAATTCCTCATGGTTTTGTGTAAGGATAGAATTTCTTTCTCCGGATATCTAACATTTCTTTCTGATGATAGTGAGGTTTTCCTGCCCATGGTGCAGGGGTACTTCGGGTGCAGTATCTTCTTTAAAGTCCATAGTGATTTTTCGGTCCTCTTGTGGACTGACAAATAGAAGGTCAATAGTCTCATGATGATCATTTAGGATCTTTTCCCCAGAACTGAGCACTGAAATTCCTTCATCATTTTCCCCCTTTGTACAGTCTTGTGGGAGCTCTTCTCATTCTATTTGTCTTTCATGACCTGTAAGATCTCATAGCTTTGTCAATTTCACTTTCATTTCTCTGTCCTATTACTTATAAAACTATAAAATTGCATCAGTGACAGCACAGATCCCTGAGGAATTCTACCAGCAATGATAGAGGAAAAGGAGAAACCCAAAACTTAGATAATCTATAACCTAACAAGAGAAATCCCTGAAAAATTAAGATTTGTTCACAGTCTTAGCAAAAACCTAGAAGTTGGAATTTTCCTTGGCATTTTATGTTCCAAGGAAGTGGGAGGCTTGGCTGTTTGTCAAGAAAACTACCGCTTGACCTAAAAGGCACATGGTGGCCGTTTTGCATCTGTGCTCTGCCAGCACCCGAAAATGGTTTCAATGAGGGATGCTCTAAAGGGGAGTCTCAGACTCTTCTGAAAACTATTAGGATTCAGTTTCAGTTTTTAAACAAAGGCATGCTAATTATAATGCATCTGCAAGTGAACAAAGAGAAATGCTAAGGCACACACACGCACACATCCACATCCACACAGTGTTCCCCAAGTTAAATCCATATACTCAGAAGCTCCTAAGCATTTGCAGTTAACATTTACATAAAGGTAAGTGTATTTGCGTTGACATTACTAAAGAGTGAAAGAATAAATATTGTGATTTGTTTCACTACAGCTAGTTTTAGGCCAATTTTGAGGCTTACTTAAAATATGGTTGTCTGTATTAGTTTTACCATATATTAAACACTAAATTGACAAAGAAATAAGAAATGAGGCACCTTTATATGCTGAGGGTAAGAATATTAATTGGTGCAACTTCAATGGAAGGTAATATGATATCGTTCAAAATTATAAATTCCTTTTGACCCAGAAATCCTACCTCTAAATTTGTATATCCTGTAGATACAGTGACACATGTGCAAAATGACGCAAGTCCAAGACCATTCACAGACATTATTTGTACTAGTACAAGACTGGAAATAACTCAAATGTCCATCGTGAAAGGACTGGCTAGATAGAACAGTTAAACAAGGGAATTACCACCCAGCCAGAAAGAAGAATGAGCACTCTTTTTACGAATTAATCTTCTAGAAGATCATTAATTTAAATAATCAAGGTGTAAAGGGTGCTTAGTGGGCTACCATTTGTGTAAAAAGAGTGAAAGAGAGCATATAGAGAAATGGATTAACTTGAACCTTATGAAATTGCCATTACTAGACTGTTTTTGACCTGTAGCTAATGGCAGTGACAACTAATTCCATTCGATTGCACTTGTTTGCATGCAGACATGTGAAGTCTCTCTAGAAATGAATACTGTAAATTGACAACTTGTGATGAGGAGAGCTGAGTTAACTAGGGGCAAGGAGATTTTGAACATTGTAACCACGAAGTTGTGGATATGTACAGCCTATTTTTAAAATTGCTAAATTTATAAATAAATAAATGTGACTTGAGGAATTAGATTTTCTCATCTTGCTACATAATGAAAGAAATATCATGTTTCTGTACCAAAGTAATGAAACACTTGATTTAGCTTGGCTTTTCCTTCCACTTTTTCAGAAAATTCTGAGAATTAAAACATTGTATCCAAGAAGAAAAATCAGAGCCTTAGGAGTTTTTTAGGGAAAAAGTCTACACTACTATCCCTACTCATAAAGACTATTTCTGAGTATTTCTTCCTAGGGACTGCAACTTCTGAGTCTACTTTAAGGACTCAAGTACATTAACAAAAGGAACAATGGATAAGAATTAAGCGGTCATGAACATGAGCACATTAAAAAGAAAATGACTGAAGCTCTATTCCTATTTTATAGAATTGTAGTGAACATGTTGAAAACTATTCTCTCAGCTACTTGGATAGTAACTCAGAATCCAAATGGAAATATCGAGAGAGAGAGAGAGAGAGAGAGAGGGAGAGAGAGAGAGGCAGACTTAGATTCAACCTTTCATAAGATTTGCATGTAAAATTCATTAAATTCTATGAACTAAAATTTCCAAATAGGTCCCATGACTTAGAGACCAAAACTGTACTACAGAAAGCAGCTTGTCCTCAGGCAGATATCAGAGCATCAGGGATTTTGTATCCTCACCCTATTGATGAGCATAGAAGTTTTCAGTAAGAGGACACAACCTGTATTAATGAATGGTAAAGAATTTTAAATATTTTCCACTTCTTGAAAGAACACAAAGGAACAACCCAGTTTTCTTCAAGGAGAAAAGGTAGCAAATGGATCATTTTACATTTTTAAATTTTAAATTAATTTTTCAGATAGAAAATGCCTGTTAACCTATTCAAGAATCAGAATACAAAGTCAGATATGAATGAATATAAAGTCAGACTATAAAGTCTGAATATAAAGTCAGATATGAATGACCCTCTCTGACATGCACACATTTAAGGGCTGTCTGTAACTATCAAGCATCAAGTAGAGCTTCTTCTTGAAATACAGCTACCAAAAGTGTAAATGACCTGAAGCTTTGCTGTAGCCCTGGGAAGTCATTAATTCATTGAGCAAATCTATATTAATTGTCTATGTCTATGAAACATACTCATTTTATCACAAGAACTTGAGGAATCAAAGAAAACCGGATTAGTTTTACATTATGTGTAATCTTCTCACATTCTTTGAAAATTGTTAACCAGATTATTAATTCAAGTGTACACTTTCAGTAAACCAGAGTACTAAATTTGCAAGCCCTTGCCTTGATCATTCTGTGTAGTGACAGCTGGCTGGGTCTATTCTTTGTGCCTTGGTCCTGTCTAGTTTCATAGGTCGCCTGGGATGTTCTATGCTCTTTTAGAACTCTTCACTTACCTTCATTTAGTTAAAAGTGATCACTTTAAAAATAAACCTAAGGGGCCGGGGATTTAGCTCAGTGGTTTTGCCGCCTGCTGCACAAGTGCAAGGACCCTAGTTCAAGCCCTGGCACCAAAAAAAACAAAAAGAAGAAGAAGAAAAAATAAACCTAAAGTCAAAGTGGACCCTGCTTTCCTCATGACAGCAGGATTCAAGACCGTTCCCTTCTCTCCTGTGGAGTGGGGAGACCTGAGAATGTACAGTTTTCTGTTAAAATCCTTCTGCTTGTACTCTCATGGTCTTCCCCTCAGTTCATTCTCATAATCACCCCTTAAAGTAAACATGTGCATACTATTTTGCACCCTTTACCAGTGAGAGATTCAGGCTCAAATAGGTCTACAGACCTGGCTGAGTGTTGTGACTGGGAATAAAAGCCAGTCCCTGGAATGATGCAGAATGGTAGGAATGTGAGTGGACAGTTTGCGGCAGCTATAGACCCACATTAGAGTATTCACATTGTACCTGTCAGGGTATCGATATATCTGAGCATATCTGGAAATCTGAAAGATGAAATGAGTACAATTGTGTCCAAGAGGACTTTCCTGTGTAGACATTACTGAAACGCTTCTTGTCATGTTTTGCATGACAGAGGGTTGAAATTGAGCCTGAACAGTTTGTTCCACTCCAGACACTAAATCAGTCAGTACTTTCAAGGTGCTGAAGGAGGAGTGTGTGTGTGTGTGTGTGTGTTCACATTTAATAATAATTTCACAGTGTGATGAGTGTGTATCCCAAGTCTAGAGAGTGTTCCAACTTGCCAGCCTTGGACAGCATTGTAGTTCCTTGTTTATTTGAGTTCATGTGTTTTTTTGTGTGTCTGAAAATGAACTAGGCCTTTTCTTTTATATTTAGCCCACTGCTTATGAAAAGAAATTGCCTGCAACCAGTAAGAAGGCAGATACAAATGACTTTGACACGTGCTGTTCAAGTTCCACATCTAGCAAACTCCTTCCACCTGCACTCAAGGGAGAAGTACAGAAAAGTTCTGTGACTCCAAGCCAAGGAGGAGCAACCAAATCCACTGCTAAATCCACTGCCCTGTTTCGAAGCAAAAAAACCCCCTAATGTTCCCTCCAGTTCTGAACAAACAGTACAAAAACAAACTGCTCTTTCTAGTGCTAAAGGGGGAGTTTAGGAGGGGAAAGAACAGTGCTACACTGAGCTTTCGGCCTTTAGGTCCGCCAAGCCCTGCCTTGGTCTGCACCAGTTTAAAATTGAAGCCAGTTATCTCCAAAGCAGCATAAACTGTATGGAGTATTAAAGCACAGCCACCAACAGGCAGGATGGCTGTGCAGCTAAAATCAACCCAAGATGTATCTAAGGCTTGTTTAGGGGGCAGATGCCCTTAATGCAAGGCTGTGGCAATACTGCTCAGTTTTATTTCAAATTCTTAGGTTTAGGCACAGTTATTTATAGGGGAAAACAAGAGGTCAAATATGGTAATGGAGGTTTCAAATAATTATGTGTGCTTTGCACTAGAAGACTTTGTTAGAAAATTACAAATAACCTTCCCATAGGCATTATGGTGAAAGTGCTTCAATCCTTTGCATGTGTTCTTGTAACTTTAAGTTGCTATGGATTGTTTAAGACAACTTATTTTAAGCATAGAAAAATAAGACATTTTGTAACTGCTTACCATTAACTTGCTGCTAAATTCCCAGTGTATTGATTCAATCAATAAAGATCAGATGTTGCCTATACATGTTCATTTTGTGTTAATGAGAGATGAATATGTTTAGGTCCACTAAGCCCTTATTCATTACAAGGCCTGCCTATTGCTGCAATGGTAGCACATATCTCTGGGGAAGGGCTTGAGGCTGGATAGAGGAAAAATACATCATTTCTCTTAGTATTGTGGGTATCTCCTTTCCACCTAGCTAAGCAGTTTTGCATTGGATGTTAAACTGGATAAATTAATGCTTCTGTGGACTTTCTAAACAAATTTTAAAGAACAATTTGCACTTGCTTTTATAAAAATAACCTCATTTCATGTCACACACCCCCATCCCCCATGGGATTGACAGTCAGGCCTCCAGAGTGACCCACACCTGGCCAGCTGAGCAAGCACTAGTTGCACATAAATCCACTTAGTGGCCAGAGGAAGTACGTGTGCTTCTTGTGATTAATTTAGGAGACACTGTTGATTCTTAATGAGTCAGAGATATCACTGAGACCTATGTCACCATGGCTGAGGGGTTCTGCCAGTATTTTCTTCGTGCCAAACATGTCTAGTGTGTATTTTCTAAATTTTATTTTAAAATTAGAGTTGACCATAGCTTCTTCAAGATCTTTCTCCTTTTTTATTATTTCCAGTCCTATCAGTAGCCCAGACAATATCTCCTGAGTTGAAGGTATTCTCTCGGGCTGTGATGAGCTGGTCCCTGAGGAGTGTGTCCAGTCCATATGCTGAGAATCTGGCTCACTGTCTAAGCAGAGCGCAGCTGTCCCCAGAAACAGTCTTGAGGCCATGGTCCGGCCACCTCTGGTAGGAAGGGACCCAAGGCCAGATGGAGAGCTGGACGCTGGTCTCCGTGCAGAAAAGCCAAACAAAAGAGTGGCTTTGATTCTGGGCCTGAAATGGAATATGCCTTGTATTCAAAATGCCCTTCCTTTTACAGTGATTGGCTCTTTTGTGATTAACGCTTGTAAATCAAGTGCTATTCTCATTTCTCTTGGCCCTAAATTAGAATTCTGCCACTAATCTTGAGCAAAGGTCTAGAACTAGCCACCTACTGAGAGTCGACGTAATTTTATAACATTTTAAAGTTGCACATTTTCCTACCACACACCAGGGAAGGTTTCTATTATAAGGTGCATTCTCTTAGCTCCCCAATAATAGAAGGTATTCTATCACGTACTTTCACATTATTTGTATAGAATCATTCTGATAAGAAATTTAGCTTACTTTAGTTTCTAGAGAGAATATCCGTGTTATTTCTGTGTGCTGTTTGTTTGTATGAAATACACTTAGACCAGGCCATCTCTAAAGTTTTCCAGCTGATACACCTCTTTAATTGCTGGAAGTGTGCAGCCTTCTCTCTCCATGTACTCCATGGCTGTGAAAAAGCAGCCCTTCCATTTCAGATTGGCTTTTGACAACCAACACCAATTTTTCTGATGCCTCCTGTTCCCCGCAGCTGGGCTTTGCCATGAAGTGGAGGGACACACACTGTCTAGGGTAGTACAGAGCAGGTGTTATTTCCAAGGAATACAAATGCTGATCAACACTTCGACTGGAATAGCAGGTAAGTCAAGGCAGAAGGAGTATGGGGAAAAAAAAGGAACACAGGCTTGGAGCTTGGGGACAAGCTCTTCTGAGGAGCAGAGCCGATGATATTTGAGAAGAAAGGAAAACGATTGAGTTGGGAAAGCAAGATGAAAACACAGGGTATTCCATAAAACTGAATGCCAGGGCACAGTTGCCAAACCTGGAAACAGAGTCAGAGGGCGGAAGTGTTGCTCCTAAAACAGTTTGTCGCTCCAGGCGAGTCTGAGGTAAAATTAGCCCCTCTGTGGCCTCTTCACAAGCAAAGCTAAAGACAGGCTTAAAAACAAAGGTCCTGGGAAAGGGAAGCGGGGAGAGGCTGTGATTTGAAGAGTTGGCCATGGAACAGTCCTTACATTTTGATCAAGTAGGAATGTTATATGGTGTTTGGGGGAGTGGGAGAAAAAAATAAAAACATTTTGTGCTTATCACTGCAATGCTTTGTTTAAATAATTCTATTTGACTCCAAAATGTAAGTTCCAGGTTAGACAGATCAAAAGCAGCCAGTCTTGAAAATGAAGCTTTTTAAATTCCAGCCCTGCTGTTGGAATAGAGAATAAAGGCTTTGTTCAAACATGCATTCCCAGCAGTAAGCAAGGCTTTGAAATTGGCCAGGGAAGTTGTGTCCTATAATGGCTGTGCTTGGCTGGAGACCAAGAAGCTGTGGCCTCTGGGAAATGACCCTGGGCTGGATGTTTTCCATCTGCCCCTCCAGGACCCCTCTGCCTGTTCTGCCCTCTCCACTCAGAGGCTGATCTACAGGGACTGTATTATCAGGCGCCCCCTGGCCCCTGGATTTGTTGGGATTCTGTCAGTGGAGGCACTGACAGGAGGTCAGAGGGTGGGAGAGCAAGGTCCAGGCATTGGTTCCCCCGGTGCCTCCCACTCTGGGCTGCCAGGGTTTTGCTGTACCCTCCTTTTCTGGCCCAGGCTCCCCTTACCTCTTCACTTAGCTATGTCCCTGGCTTCTTCAGGCCAAGACTAGGGTTAATGCCCTGGGGTGCTGCATCTTCCGCTGTGGGTTTCCCTAGGCCCTCTCAGTCCCTTTATAAATTCTCTCATTGAACTCTCTCCTGCCCCACCTGAACGTACATATGTCTTCTGCTGCCACTCAAAGTGACCAGACCCTTCCCTTGTGAGCTCTGCACTGTTCTTGACCCAGGACAGTTGGTCTCTGATTGCCAGGCTATCAAATTACAGGAAAACGAGGAGCCCAGAACCTAAATGAGCTCCTCCTGCATACATGATGTGCTTGGTTGCGTGTTCTCTGGGGACTGGAGGGAGTACAGGGACAGCCTCTGGCATTGGAACCCAGAGGGAACAAGGTAAATCCAGCATTGCCCAGCTAAATCTGAAATTGGAAAAGGTCTAAACCCAGAAGTTTTCCATGTAGGTCTTAAATTCCAACCTTGGCTTTGGGAGCCTAAAGAAAGCAGTGGGCTAGAAGCCCACAGCCTGGGTTGTGAGCGGCCCCTCTGTCTTCCGGTTTCCGATGAAGGCCATGGAGAGGCTTCCTGGGGACCTGTGTGCAGGACAGGAGCTTGGGCAGCCTGAAGACATGGAGTCTCCCTGGGCTTCGCCTTTGTTCATCTCTAGAAGCACTCAAATCACTTTACGAAACATTTTAAAGTAAAATTCCCACTATTGGAATGTTTCACATAGTTCAGCGTTGCTCTTCAGGATCCTGTATTTTTCTGAGTCAGCTGGCTGTGAACTGATTTTGATTTCTGTTCAGTGTATTGTTATCACTTAATTCTCCTTGATGAACCAATTCTCTTTGCCTTTGTTCTTCAAAGGAAGGCCCTATTCAGTGGACGCCTTGCATTTTGTGTGTGCTACTAGCATAATCAACTCAACTCTGTTCTGTGTCAGTCTTCTACATTTCCCTAAATTACCAAAAGTTATTCCCAGCAGGAGTGGCCCTTCAGCCTCTGGCCCAGCAGTGGCACCCAGTTGGCAGTGTGACCCTGGAAATCCAAATTGGTCCACTGCAGGTTACCGTTGCAGTCTCAGAGACCTTCCCCTGACTGCTGCCTGTCAGTTACATTAGCTGCAGTCTGGGACACAGGGTGCAGAAGACCTTAATGTACCCCCCCCACCCCAGGTCTCTGGCCTGGCTCCAGGACAGGGCCACAGATGCAGTGCAGCCCCCTCACTGCTGCACAGACTTCAGCGTGACCCCTGTCCCTCTCCTGGTGAGATTCTGCAGCTACTTCACACCCTATCCATGCTATTGATACCAGGGTTCCAAAGGTCCTCTGCCCTTGGGGATCTAAAACACAGTCTTTCTTTCCAGGCAAGCTATGGTTTAGGAAAAGTCTTCTTCATCTGCACAGAAAGTTGCTTCCATTCCCAGGAGCAATTGCAACCTCAGAGAGGCAGCATTTCCAGCCCGCTCAAGGGACAAGGGTGCAACAAAAGATGCAGTGCCACTGACTTCCTAGGGCTCTGAGGAAGCAACCCTGGTGGGGAGGTGCCAACTGGTATACCAGGGCCCTGGCATTGGTTTACATTGAGTTTACTTGACACCATAGTCTTCCTGTAAGCTGTATTTCAGGCTCTATTAGAGTTAGGGGTCTTTTATTTAAGCCCTCTCTGGAGTTGTGATGTAATAATAGCAGCAGCATTTACACAGCACTTACCATGTGCCAGACATCATGCTAAGTATTTTACATGTCTTGATTCTTTAATCCTTATAACCTGTGAACTTGGTACTATTATTATCTCTATAGAGGAACAAATTGAGGCACAGAGAGATTAAGAATTCAAAGTCACATAGCCAAGTGGTAGCAGAACCAGGAGTTAAACCCAGCTACCAGGCTTGAGTTTGTCCCTGTGGCACTGCACGCCTCTCTCTTTCCTCCTCTTTGGGCCTGAAACATCGATAAAGTTTGATCCCAGAATTCCAAAAGGCTGAGGAGCTCCTGGACACATTTCTCTCTTCTAGCAAGTGGTGATTTTGGCAAGTTTGGGGCTTGAAGTTTGAAATGGTACTGGGATAAATTTGAGTAAACAGGGAAACTGCATTCTGAAGGATGTAGCATGATAAATATAATTTTCAGTGTTTTCTGGCCAAAGAAAGAGGCTCCATTGCCTCCTCAGACCACAGGGACAGTCCTTCCTGTGTAGACCCAGTGGACTATGTTTACCAGGAGCCAGGTGTTGCATTCCCATCACAGGGCACTGGGGGTTAAGAATCGCTGTTTTGGCTTCCTGTGTTTCTTCATCAGATGGCATGGGCAGCTGTGTGGCTGAGGAGGTGGAGCTCAGAGGTCCACTGCTGGAGCTGTTCTCTGTTCTCTTGCTTGTGTGGCTCTAGCTTTTGCCATCACTCCTGCTTTAGGATAATGTTCAGCTCAGGGATGTTTTCCTCTGCCCTACTGACATCCTCCCAGCTCAGGAGCACACATGGTGCCTGCAGGCCCAGGCCCATTC